TTCTGCTCTTTATTTGTACCTCTGGGCCCCTTGCTCCATTCATCTGAAGAAGTGGGTTGTGCCCATGAAAGTTCATGATACCACCTACATTCTTTGTTAGAATATATTAGTGTTAGAGCTGTGCAGTCTAATCTCTCTCTAGAAAAAGCGTTTCCTGCCATGCAACAGAATGACATCATCAGGTTCTCTGGCCAAAGAGAGGGGATGGGTTTGGTGAGTGTAGCAAGTAGTGTGCATAGCCCTCTAGTACTGATTAAATTTTCTTTCTTTTAGATAGGAATTAGATACAGTGCTCCTGTCAGCTGACTGGTAAGTTGTCTGCCAAAAAAAGTAGAGTTTTCCAGTGTCTTAGTAGCCCTTGGATAGAGTTACTATCCAAGGGCTACTAAGGGAGGACGGATGGGGTTGGTTTCCCCTCCCCATTTGTTGCTTGGCTTGTACTGAGCATGTTCAGTAACACGATTGAAGCCTCTGTCCTCTTACTCTCTTCTTCCTCTCCTATCGCAGCATGCACAGGTTTGCCTCCCGACAAAAATCTCAAATAGCACCCCTGACATGAGTACTTCCTGCAAGATCCACCTTCAAATCCTTTTGTCATTATTTGCAGTAAACGCTAAGTATTTTGCAGGATTGGGATCTTATTTCTTCAAGATCTTTTACATTGGCCAACAGAGGCTCATCAAATTGCCTTCTCCAGAGGGAGCAAATAAACTAAATTTAAATTTTCATTATTGGTCCTTGATAAAGAAATACTGCACAGTAAACATTCCTGTTCAATAAGAGTTGAATGGAAACTCCCCATGGCCCTTTTTCTTTTTAACCTTAATTCTGCAGAAGTGAGAAGCCTTTCTCTCTATATTAGCTTGTTAAAACACTGAACTTGTTACTAAATCTTAACTAAAATTTCTCTTACCATCCTGTTGATCCGAACAAAGTCTTCAGGCTTCTTTGCCCAAGGGGGAAGCTCAACATCATTTACAACAACTTCATCCTCTCTGACTCCTAGATTATATCCGTTACTGTTGACAAACATCTCTGGTAGGTAGTAAAACTCTGGAATTAACTCCTGTCAGAAGGAAAGCATAGTGTGTTACTTGGATATGTACAAAACAGCTGCATTATAGTTTTCAGAATTTATCTCTCATACAATAACCTTACAAGAAAAATAATCATTTCCATTTGCATAAAATCTTTTTTGCATTGTTTAATTTATGTGAAAAATAAATGTTTAAGGAAGACTTTTTATAACCTTTTTCTTGTACTTAACTTTGAGCAGACATTTTGTTATATTATATTGAACAGCTTTTGTCTTTCTCAATCTTGTTTCAATAAATCATAGGACTTCGGAACAGCACTACCTTCTCACCCTTTGTTAAATTAAATATGTTTAAAAGTAATCAGAGATCTTCCATTATTGTTTAACAAAATTATTTGAAAAAGGAAAAAATCTGTGAAATCTTCATGGAAAAGGTTATATTTTAATCCTAATTTTTCTTTGCTTTTTTCATATTATGTACTGCGCGCGTGTGTGTGTGTGTGTGTGTGTGTGTATAATATTGCATTAGCAGACATAATATAAAATTTTATGAATAAAAAGATGGCATCACTATAGGAGGATAAACAAAAAATTTCAGGTGATAGTATTTTACTATACTCAGCAATGTTCAAATATGACAAAATATCTTTAAAATATTATTACATGCAACTTGCATTATGAAGTCTCAGTAATCAGGAAATAAATCTGAGCTGATAGTAATATTTAGGCAGTGCCCACTATGAAATTTATCACACTTCGAAGGAAGTCCTAGGCTGAAATTAGTGATTTTGATGCCAAAAAAAAAAAAAAAAAAGTCAGTGTGTAGGTGCCTATTTTTTAAACAGATGGAATTGAATTGCAGTACTAGAAAAAGCTACAGTTTTAAAGCCCATTGCTTTTTCTCTAATATGTAATTTAGTGAATTTAATCCCTATCTAGATTATTAAAAGCATTGGGATATTCATTTGTGTAACACGATCAAAACTGATGACACAGCACCTGAAACCTTAATCTCTTTATGGTCTTTTCAAAGGCTACAGGTAGAGATCATAAAAATAATCACTGCAGCCACTACAGTATCTAAATAAATCTGATCCACAACACTACAAAGAATAGAACAGTTAAAGTACAGAAGGCCATTTCAAGTTTTACCATTAAAAACAAATATATGAATATTTACATAAAATTTTTAAATATTTTTAATGGAACAATTTATTGGTTTTTTTTATGCCATTCATGCTGCATGACAAACACTGTGATTCAAATTACATTAAAAATACAACATTAATTAATATTTTGTCTATTATAAGACAGTAATTAAATGAGACATGCCTGAACATGTGTATTATATAGCTTGTAATTATATATAATAATAACATTTTAAAAATATTTCACACAGTAATGAGTAAAACAATATAACATAAAAAGGATAAAACCCCTGAATATCATATACTGTATTGGGTTAAACATAGTCTACTTGGCTGGGAATCCAAACTTGTTATATTACCATCTCTAGTTTTTTTACTAGAAGAGTTTTCTACAAATTCACTCTGATACAGCTGAAAACAAATTGTTCATCCTCCTTCTCACTCTCATTTTATGACTTCTTAGACTTTTGAAGAACCTCTTCTTGTCTATTCTCACAGGGGCAGCACTGGGCCTAATTATCTTTCCAGAGCTCAGCAAAACCACTCCTAACTGTGGACTAAGGAGTTACTGCAAAACAACACATGCTTCAGTGAAAATGATGGTCCTCCAGATGACTGCTGGCCTAAGAGTGGTGAAAGTATGTCATGTCAAAATAATTTTTATTTAAATTGAATAAAACAATGGAAAATCTGACTTCTAATTTACAAAAAATCGTTATTTAAATAACAAAATCCATGCAGTGCATATTGCTGATTTTTTGACTGGCTATCAAACCTATCTAGCTGGCTGTTCTATTACCTTATGTGAGAAGACAGAGTCTCTGCAGCTTCTCAGCTCTTCAGTTGTAGGGCCTGACTATGAAACTCTTGCAGCTAATGTAACTGTACATTTTGCATTATCCAGATACATGTCCAATCTTTTATTTTTTTGAACTCTCCTCAATGATATCATGTGGCAAAGAGCTCTACAGAATTTTGTAATAAAAAATTACCAATTTAAAATGTGATCCCATTCACATTAATTCAATGTCTTCTTATTCTGGTAGTGTGAGAATGAATCAACAGGAGCACTTAATTTATCCTTTATGGCATTTCCTATTTTGTAGTAATTTAGCATTACCACTCTTATTTATTTTCTTTGGAAACTAAGCAATCCCAGTTTTTTTAATTCCTCATATGGCACTCTCTCCAGGCTGCTAATCCTTTTCTGTTGGTCTCTCCTGAACATCATGTATTCCTGATAAATCCTTTTTTAAAACAAAGTGAGCAGACTGGTCACAATATTTCAGGTAAAGGAATAATATCCATTTACGTAAAAATCTGTTCTTTATTTAGCCTAACATTTTGTTTGCTTTCTTGACCACTTCATTGAAACAACCCACTCTTATCTTTCAGACATTCTGAAATCTGATATTTATTCCTACTCATGGGTTTTTGAATTCTTTGTCAGTTTCTAATTTAGGGCAGTATTTTTCTTCTCGGCATATGACTATTTACATTCCTTCAAAGCATCTTCTGAGGAACCTTATCAAAGATTCTTTAAAAGGCAAAATGAATGCTAGCTGGTATTCCTTTTTCACTATTTCTTGACATGGTTATAGAATTCTAGTAGATTATAGAGGTAAGATTTTTTCTTTACAGACGTCATGCTAGATTGTCCTCATGTTCATCTATGTTTTATAATTCCAGTTTAAAATGTTTTTCAACCAATTTTCCAAATATAAAAAGTTTCGTTGATAATTCCCAAAGTCACTCTAAACAACCACTAAACCCAAATCTTGCATGTGGTTGTCAATTTTTTTTAATGACAAATACAACATTTTTTACACTTGTGTCCAGTTCTTTGTTATTGGATAACAGATATATTCTAAAGTCTTCTATCCTTTGTAATAATTGCTTTCCATATTGTCTACCATAGCAGCTAAAGACAAAACCTAGCTTACCTTATCAAATGCTTCATTGCAAATTTTCAAATACTTTTCGTTTATTGATACGGGTAAAATTTGTAAGGACAGAACAATGTGGAACTCAGAGAAGCTTCTCAGTTCTGGCCCAATCATATGTTCCATTTTAATTCAATATTCTTCTGTTTTATATTGTATCCATTCAACATGAGGTTTTAATTGCCACACTTGTTTAAAAGCTTTAAATTGTCCTTCCCCATATGAGCTGAAAATTCTGCTTATTCAGATTATATAGAATTTCTATTTGGAGTCTTTCAAGATTAAAAAAGATCATGGTCAGAAAGCAAAATGAAATGTTACCATTCAATTAAGGTGAACACGTCACCATGAGGTAAATGCATTAATCTGCTAGGCTGGAGAGCAATTGATGAGTAACTAAACCCAAATCTTGCATGTGGTTGTACAGAGAACTATCTACATCAGTTAGTGTCAGACCAGGATATAGTCTTTTAGTTTATTACATGTGGATACATGATATTACATGTGAAGCAGTAATCAGATTATTTCAAAATGTGCACATCAAACTTTACAATCACATGGTTCAACCCTATTGAGAACTGATATATTTTGTCAAATATGTATCACCAAGAAAAAAAAGCAAAATACAACCATCTTCATCTTCACTTTAATGGGCTTAAGAAGAAATACTAAAACCTTAGCTATACCAATGTTGTTCTTGCTTCTCAGTCATTTGTATGGATGTTGTAAGTTCTCATCAAATAATGGAAAGCTACAAACCCCAATTTTTGCCTAGTGGAAAGGGAGCACTGGTGAAGAAGATCATCTTTAAGACATTTTGGAATACTAGCCAAAAGCATCTGGAAGATCAGTAATGGTATTTATACCAGTAATTGTCACCTACAGCTCTAGATACCTTACAACCTATTGTCTGTCAATGCCTTTTGTAAATAAGCTATTCAGTGCAACCTATGAAGTTTCTCACTGTTTGAAGGGGCCATGGTTTAAGAAGCTGATCTTTTCAAAAAAGCCTCCAGCACAGCATAAAAATGCTGATGAGAGCCAAATGTCAAAGTATTTTCTTCCAAAGTCACAGCCACCTCAAACAGTCCATGAGGGTATGTCTACACTACCACCCTAGTTTGAACTAGGGTGGTTAATGTAGTCAATCAAAGTTGCAAATGAAGCCCGGGATTTAAATATCCCAGGCTTCATTTGCATCTTGCCGGGCGCCGCCATTTTTAAATCCCCGGTAGTTCGGACTCCGTGACCGCGGCTACACGCGGCATGGAGTAGGTAGTTCGAATTAGGCTAATTCGAACTACCGTTACACCTATACGAGGTATAACAGTAGTTCAAATTAGAAAGCCTAATTCGAACTACCTACTCCGTGACGCGTGTAGCCGCGGGCATGGAGTCCGAACTACCGGGGCTTTAAAAATGGCGGCACCCGGCAAGATGCAAATGAAGCCCGGGATATTTAGATCCCGGGCTTCATTTGCAACTTCGATTGACTACATTAACCACCCTAGTTCAAACTAGGGTGGTAGTGTAGACATACCCTCAGACTATATAGATTGGGATGAAATGGCCAACATGATCTATTATAACACAAAAAGCTCCCCTAAAACCTATGCCAGCTTGTCGCTATCAAATGGGGAAAGGGGAAGTTACTCACCTTGTGTAGTAACGATGGCTCTTTGAGATGTGCCCCATGGGTGCTCCACTCCAGGTGTCGGGTCCGTCCCGGCGCCACTGATCGGGAGATTTTATAGCCATACCGGGCCGTACCGCGTATGCTCCCTGTGCCGCTGGTCCTTCGCACCCTTTCAAACG